TATAAATATGGTACACTGTTTAATTATTCCGAGTTATACTTTGGCACTTGGCTTAGACACAGCTCATTCCGTTTAAAGGAAATAATAAGAGATTAAAATGAAACACAAGGTTCAAACGCTACTACGTGTCGGAATGTAAGACTACATTTACACAAGGAGATTTTCTAGACACTTGTCTTAACATTTTATTTAGTATTTTCTTTGTTTCAGATCTATACCCTTCGTCAGGCTTAGCTACTTTAGATAAAAGAAAAGCCTAACACATGAGCCGAATGTTCGTGGAACGTGAAACACATCTACATATTAGGACGTCAAGAAATTAATGTCGCGTTTTGGAACACTTTCCAAAAAACGTACATCACGTATAATAGTTAAACGAACCACCTAAATGTCACGTTAATGTAGCTTATATAATGTGTAAAGTTTAGTGTACTCTAATCTCTTATAGTGATGGCACACGGCGAGACACACATTCGGCATGTAATGCTGTTTGAATACAAGAAGGGAAACAATGCCTCTGTAGCCACAAAGAATATCAAAGAAGTTTATGAAAATGTTCTGAACGTTAGTAAGTGTCAACAATGGTTCAGCAAATTTCGTTCGGGTGACTTTAGCCTTAAAAACTGTGATGGCAAGGACTGGCATGTTGGAATTAATATTGATGCTCTGAAGACGCTTGTTGAGTCTAACCCAAGGCAACACACTCGTGAAATGGTCCTGAAATTGCATTTCTCTCATGAAACAATACGTAAACATCTAAGGAATATAGGAAAACTCCATAAAGAAGGTGTTTGGATGCCACACGTACTCTCCGATGATCATCGTTTCCAACGTGTGAACGTTGCTTAGTCTCTTCTGGCACGTAATGCGCGTGAACCAGCTTCAAAGCCAAGTGATTTCTTTAATCAGGGCATTAACAACCTTATTTTAATATGGAAAAGCATCATCGATAAGAATGGAGACTATATCATTTGATATATGTTTTGTTTTGATATATAAGTTGTTCGGGTTTGTTTTTTTTTCATCTAAAAAAGCGACATTTATTTCTTGACGACCTAATACAATACTGCCATTACTAATGTTGCTTTCAGAACAGTTAAAATCTCGGAGATATATCAAAACCGAGGGAAAAAGCTAAAACCAGTAATGCAAAAAATGTAATGATATTAGAATACGATATATTTAAAATGCGTGTTATGATAAAAATTAATATTTGTTTATATCAATAGGTTGGGCCCGGCATGGCCAGGTGGTTAGAGCGCTCGACTCGCAATCTGCGGGTCGCGGGTTCGAATCCCCGTTTCACCAAACATGCTCGCCATTTCAGCTGTGGGGGCGTTATAACGTGACGGTCAATCCCACTATTCGTTGGTAAAAGAGTAGCCCAAGAGTTGGCGGTGGGTGGTGATGACTAGCTGCCTTCCCTCTAGTCTTACACTGCTAAATTAGAGACGGCTAGCGCAGATAGCCCTCGTTTAGCTTTGTGCGAAATTCAAAACAAACAAACAAATCAATAGGTTGTGATGCCATGAATTAATATAAAAAACAAGCAAATCACATAAATTTGAGTGATTTTTTTTTTTTACAATTTTTGGATCGGCTGTAAAGGATTATAGTAGAACAAGAGTGAAATTTCAAAATAAAAACATATACATTGTTTTCTACCCACTCGACAGCTTTACATTTTAATCAGTACTCCATATTTCGCTCGGGAAATTATGAAGCACAACGACATACAAACGTTGGTCTCGTGATGATATAAGGAGTTGGAATTTCTAGGGCCTGGATGGTAAGTGGTAGATAAGAGTTCAAATACACAGTTTTTAAGTAGATAATTTTATAACTTTATAATAACGTTTTGACAACTTGTATTTTTTACCTGACGATGACCACATAAGCGGTCGAAACGTCGTTATACATTAAAGAAATAATACATAATTCACTCAAAAGCTGTATCTCTGGACTTTTATTTAAAGTATACAGTGGATTTCCTTTCCTTACAAGAAGTGTCAGTGGTAGATGTTGTAATGTCTAGGACCTGGATAGTTAGTGGTAGATGTTGTAATGTCTAGGACCTGGATGGTTAGTGGTAGATGTTGTAATGTCTAGGACCTGGATGGTTAGTGGTAGATGTTGTAATGTCTAGGACCTGGATGGTTAGTGGTAGATATTTTAATGTCTTAGGACCTGGATGGTTAGTGGTAGATATTTTAATGTCTTAGGACCTGGATGGTTAGTGATAGATGCTGGATGGTTAGTGGTAGACGTTGTAATGTCTAGGACCTGGATGGTTAATGATAGGTTGAAATGTCTAGGACCTGGATGGTTAATGATAGGTTGAAATGTCTAGAATTTGGATGGTCAGTGGTAGGTGTTGTAATGTCTAGGACTCGGGTGTTTAGTTGTCTAAGACAAATAATCAGGGTGTCGTCGTGAAAAAACTGTAAGTTGCTCTTTGAACTTATTACCTGTATATTCTTGTCGTTTAGATAGTTTTCTACATATGATACAGCGAATACGTACCAGAGATAGGCAATGGTTGAGTCATTGGTATACTTATGTGTGAAGTATACATTTAGTTTACACGATGTATTTCCTTATGTTTGTTCAGAGGTAATATGTCCTGTTTATAATTTCGAACGTACTAAAATGTCATAAATATTTTTGTCTCTCTTATAGGAAATTAACAGAGAAGTAATAAAGAGAGTATTGGGTGAGGGACTTGTAAAGATGTGTTGATCATGTTCATTGATCTGCCTGTCAAGTGTGTGGTATGTAAGAAAGATAAGAATTTCATTGAGTCAGTGGTTTGTAACAGGAGAAGGTAGAAACAGCAACGACGTAAATTGTTGAGTTTTGGGATTTTTACGTTAATAGGATGGTTCTGGTTTTTTTTTTTGTTTCTTTGGTCTTAACTTGGAATTCAATGTAGTCAGAGTATAGAGTTTTGGACTTAAGAACTCTGTTTGTATTGTCCTTTTCTTATTTTTGAGAGATGGAGAGTGTTATAGCTTAAGTTGGTATGGCTGTTCTTGATCTCATATCGAACAGTGTTTTTACTTATAGATTCAAAGATATTACTTTGGCTGGAGCGTAGTGTCATATTTATAAAGAGATGCGGAATTTGATTATATCCGATAGACGGAGAAACCAATTCATGAAAATATTTACGGAAAAAGCGATAAATGTCGGCTTTCCAACACTTCTGTGAGTATAATAACTATTTAAGTGGAGAGCAACATGTTACGTAAGTTCCCATAAGCGATTGCATGTTGGTTCAAAATGAAATCAATATCACCAGGCAGTCACGAATTAATCACGTATTTATAATTTTGGCAATATTAAAAAACAACATTACAAAATAAAATCTCGACCAAACTCGGCACTAGAATTTGATTTCAGGTTTTGCCTACTCCCAAACAAGAGGATGGTATGTGTGGCAAGACGGCACTATATTTGTTTTTATGTGAGTTTTAGCAAAACGTATTTTGAAGGCAGAGCCGTCCTTGGAGTAAAACAAGTAAAACTGCTGCCTATGGCACTTCGTTATGGGGAACTTTCATTGA